TTAAATCACCCTTAAATATCATACCATTGATGCTGTAAAAATTTGAGAATAAATGGAGTTCATTGCCTTGGTCAATTCATTCATGAAAATACGCTATTTTGGCCACCCGAGGCCCATCCTCATGCATGCATGTTATGACCTAAGTGTTAGCCACTATAGTCATCATTTGTGATGTATAACATTCGGCCCTGAGTAGTTTTGTAAGTTATGAATGTTCGTTCGGACGTAAGTTGCTCGTACGTGCCATTTAGGCCCTCCCGAGTGTCATGCATTTGGACCCGGGCTCCACTAGTGTTTTATGTGATATTTGTGCTTGTTTTACCATATCATGATGCTTGGAGTTGCATGTCACCGGAGGTCCGGCAAGGGCCGGCCTTGGTCACTGTCCGCGCACATAGCGCGCCAGTGCCCGGCCCAGTGCCAGTCCGTGCCCGCGCCAGCGTGCGCGAGGCACCAGTGTCCGCGACAGCGCGCCCGCAGTGCCTGTCCGCGTCGTACCCGGGGTCGTGGCGCCCGTCGCGCCCAAGCAACCCCGACAGCGCCTGGCCGCGCTGTCCCAGCCTCAGTGCACGCATGGCCTCGCGTGTCATGCGTAGCCGACCTCGGGTCGTGCCAGTGCCACGCCCGAGCACGCAGTTGGCCCGGGATGTGCCCAGCAGCACACCCGCGTGCCCAGGGACGCCCGGCAGCGTCCGTGCCAAGCCCAGCGCACGAGGTCTCGTGCCAGAGCCTCGTGCCAGGTCCAGGGCTGATCCAAGCCGGGTCAGCTGAGCCAGTCGGTCTCGGTGCATGTCCCAGCAGCATGCCCGAGTGCCCAGTGTCCTCGGGACGGCCCGGCAGCGCCCTAGGGGCCTCTGTCCGCGCCTTCCCCGTGCCAGCCGCGTCTGGCCAGTGCCTGTCCGTGCCCAGCCGCACGACAGCGCCTCAGTCGAGCCTCGGCCGTGCCCAGCACGCACCCGAGGGGCACCAGTCGTGCCCGGGCCGTGCCAGCAGCCCCTGGCCGTGCCCACCAGCGCCAGTCCGCGCCTAGCCATGTCCAGCGGCCCCAGGGACCGAGCCCGGTCGCACCAGCCGTGCCCAGCGCCGTGCCCGGGCACCAGCTGGCCCGGCACGGGACCGAGCCCGGTCTAGCCGAACCCAGCCCGACCGCCCGGCCCAGTCGAGCCGGCGGTCCGGCCAGCCAGCGAACCGGCCGGTTCGACCGGCGGTTCGAGTCAGTTTTTACTCGTGATTTCTGATCCGAGTCCAGTTCCGGAAATTTCAGTATTTTTCCGAGCCAGTCCAGTCCAGTTTAATCGCGTAGATAAGTCCGAGCATTTTAGCATATAATTAAATATTCTGAGCATTATACTTAGCATTATTTTGCTTAAATATTTATGTAGCCTAAGGAGAGTCGAGCCTCCGACCGCTACTCCAGCTTCCGCACTTGCATACCAGATTTCAAGTTTTTCAGGTGGGGGTCATGTACTGGATGTCACATCATAGATAATATCTGTACCATGGCAGAGGTATGTTTGAGACAGTTTAGTTCCGGGTTGGGTGGCCGAGGCCTTTATACCCACCTGATGACCGTTGGGAGGGGCGAGGCCCTTTCTACCCCATCGGCGTGTGCACACGAGCGGCTACGGCCGAGGGTCTTTTGACCACAGATCAGAACAGACATCAGAGATCAGTTTACAGTTTCAGCTCTTATATATTTATGTTTCATGATACGTTATTATAGATGATGTTTTGTTCAGTACTGGTCTTTGCGGAGCATAGTGGTTTGCTCACGCCCCCATTGTGTTTTTCAGGAGACGGAGTCGAGCGTGCCGGATGAGCACAGATGTGGCGCAGCGTGGTCATGAGAGTCGGACATATTTTACCAGCATTTTTATGTCCTAAATTTATGATCATGTGTATTTTATTCAGTTTATGTACGCATGTTATGTATTCGTATTTCGGATGCTTCCGCCAGCGAGTTTTCTAGACAGTGCGAGACAGTACAGACTATGCATGTATAATTCCATAATCCGCGAGCGGACAGTTTGGTTGCATGTTTTGTTATGTCTGTGGGCAAGCCCAAGTTTCAGTTTAAGTTTTTATCTGCCACATCCCGCAATAAGTCAGTATTTTCGAAAATCCAGCTCGCACGTTCTTTCGAAAATAAAAACAAAAATTTTACTCTGATTTTCAAAGCTAGTAGTAAGGCGGGGTGTGACAAAATAGGATCCAACTGGGCGCCACATCAACTTTTTCGGCGAAAATGAGTACCAGAACCTCGATTTGATCGAAAATTGCCAAAAAAAAAAATAATAGTGTACCAAAAGTAAATTGGAAAGAACTAAAGGACGAAAATGCAACTCGAGTATAATTAGTGAACGAATGGTGCATTTTTTCCCAAAAACATGTAACATATATTAAATCATAAAAGTTATTTAATTGAAGTATTTCAGTTTAAAGTTGAAATAAGTTGGCCAACGTGGCCAACTTTGAAAGATAAAAGAAAACCGTAAAATATGTAAAACATAAATCCTTAGAGCATCTCTAATGCATTCTTTTGAAAGACTAAAAAGTTATCCACCTCATCTAGATAGAAAGTGTGTGAATAATTTATCCTCCAATGCATTAGATTATGGGTCCTTTCATGCTTATGTGTAAAAAATTAATGTTAACATTGTCAAGCTCACTTTCTAATTTCTCACATTCTTTCTAACATGATGACTCAGCATTTTGATAATTATTTGACACAAATTTTGAGCTTTTCATAAACTTGGAAAAATCCCACCCTTACATTTATCTAAGAAAACATTTGAGAATTTATTTGAATACAGTATAATTATTTGATGAGTTACAACTAAAATTTAAAA